CCAGCTAGTATCTTGAGCAACTGAGGAGAGGGAACCTGAAATGACCCTATCCTATAGCCATACTGATTAATATCTTGCATATCACCTTAGAACCTTCATCTGGCGATGGATCGAGATAGAGACAGAGACCCAAATTGGAGCACCGGACTGAGCTCTTAAGATCCAAATGAGGAGCAGAAGGAGGGTGAACATGAGCAAGGAAGTCAGGACCACGAGGGGTGCACCCACCCACTGTGACAGTGGAACTGATCTTTTGGGAGCTCACCAAGGCCAGCGGGACTGGGACTGAATAAGCATGGGATGAAACTGGACTCTCTGAACATGGCAGACAATGAAGGCTGTTGAGAAGCCAAGGACAATGGCACTAGGTTTCGATCCTAATACATGAACTGGCTTTGTGGGAGCCTAGCCTATTTGGATGCTCACCTTCCTGGTCCTGGATAGAAGTGGGAGGACCTTGGACTTCCCGCAGGGCAGGGAATCTGGACTGCTCTTCATTCTTGAGAGGGAGGGAGGAATGGAGTGGGGGGAGGGGGAGAGGAGTAGGGGAGTGGGGGGAGGGGCGATGTGTGCGAGGAGGGGGAGGGAAATGGGAAACGGGGAGGAGGCGGAAATTTTTTTTTGCAACAACTAAAAAAATAAAATAAACAACAACAACAAAAAACCTAGGTAGTCCGCCCTCTGACCTCTCTCCCCAGTGGTTCTCAATCTTCCTAACGCTGCGGCCCTTTTAAATGCAGTTCCTCATGTTGGGGTGATTCCCGACCATACATTTTTTTGTTACTACTTCATAACTGTAATTTTGCTACTGTTATGAAAAGTAATGTATATACCCGTGTTTCCTGTGGTTTTAGGCAACCCTTGTGAAAGGGTCTTTCAACCTCAACAGAGATATAGAGCCACAAGTTGAGAAACACTTCCTTAAGCCCTTATTGGGACATGCATCCTGCCCTAAACTCCTAGGAAGGAATGCCATGTAGAATGCCAAGCACCTCCCACTCCCAGTACATTTGGTGTGTGTGTATGTGTGTGCACGTATGTGTGTGTGTATCACTCAGGGTTGATGGCTGGGTCTTCATTATGGAAGTCAGGCTAGCCTCAAATTCTCAATCTTCCTGCTTCCATCAGCTGTGAGCTGGGGTTACAGGTGCAGGGCAACAGGGGCAGCCGCCCTTCAGGTTTTTACTTCTGCTAGTCCTGTTATGCCCAGATCAAGGAGTCCCCCCAAAACCAACTAGGAGACCGAGTCCTGTATGTAAAAGCAAAGAGCCTTTGTTCTTACACAAGTCTGCAAACTCGGACTCTCTGTGTGTTCAACTTATTGGAGTGGTCAGAGAGCCCTGAGCTCAGTTAGGATTGGGGTTTTATAGTAGAGGGGTGAGGGATCGCTAAGGTTCAGGACCCCTGATTCACTGACATTTGTCTAGGGGTGCCCTGGTGAAAAGTGGTCGGGGTGTGTGCTGGCAGGTGATCCTATCTACAATTGTTGGAACGTTAGGAATTTCCTTTGTATGATCTGTTTCTGGGTGGTGCCTGAGTGGACTCAGTGGTCTTTTCTGGAACCAGGTATTGCCTTAAGGTAAACTACTGAGACTTGGGTCTCTATTGAACTTGTCATGACTGGGTCCTGCAAGCCCTGCATCTCAGAAAGCACATATTACATCAATCTGGATGTTTCCCTCTTGCTCATCGGTCATCTTTTGCTATAGGGTCAGCTGGAGACAGGCGACAGAAAGTCATTACTCTCCTTCTCCATAGGGCTTTACCTCATCAGACGGTGTGAATCTTTCTTTTTAGACTTGAAAATGTCATTGCCTCCGCCACCTCATTTAGAGATCCTGGCAGCGAGGGCGACAGCTCAACTCAAGATAGCCGTGTTGTGCCCCCGACACTCCCTCCATCCGACAGTCCTGGACAGAAAGCCTCCGGAGGGCTCTTCATAGATTCTACTCTGTGTGTTGTCCAGCACCCGCAGGGGTTTCCAGCCCAGAGCCTCGAACAGCAAGGAAAGCAAGGTGGATTCCACCAGGCACGCAGAGTGGGAGGTGCTGTGGAGAGAGGTGAACAGACATCCCAGGTAACGGCTACATTTCCAGGAGGATCAATGTCAGGGAAGAGTACACATTGATTCTGGAATCCAATTCCCTTACTAAAAGTGTGCCCAGCAATCAATATCCCTCCCCCACAAGAAAGGCTCCTCCCATCTGCATGTTAGCAGTCTGGGCGGGGTGGGAGGGTCTCAAGATGAGGGGCTTTCCTCAGTGTGCTGATTCCAACATCATAATTTTACTTAATAAAAATAAAAGCAGCCCAGGCATGGTGGCACAGCCTTTAATTCCAGCCTGGGAGACAGAGACTGGCTTGTCTTCGTGAGTTTAAGGCCAGCCCAGTCTACAGGGTGAGTTCCAGGCCAGCCAGGGCTGCACAATGAGCCTGCTTATTAAAACTACCTAAAACACCAAAACCACAAAAAAAAAAAACTAAAAAAAACCAAAATGAATGAAAAATAAATAAAGCAAGCAAGCATCCCTGGGTTTTATGTTTTAGATAATTTATTGTTAAATGGAGAAGTCACAAAGCAAAAATGGAGTGGGACAGAAGTCAAAGGTAATTTTAAAACTTTTTTTTTTTTGTCTTTTGCTGTGTGTCAAATATTTTCTAAGTTTAAAAACAGGGAACACGTGAAATGAAAAGATACTTGTTCAAATGAAGTCTGCTTTTAGACGGTTGAAAGAAAGACTACCTTTCTCCAGAAATACACAGCATCCGCAACAGCCATAACTTAAGAATCAGAGCAAAAATCTTCATAATGAACACACCCGGTCTCTCACGCACACTTAGGAATGTCAAGTGAGTGAGTTTTTAAAATCTCCTCTTCCACTTCGCCAACTATTGGGAATCTGCTCTCGGCTGGCGACACCTCCATCAGGGTGCTCCGGGATGCCTGCAGCTTCCGGGCCTGCAGCTTTCGAGGCAGCTTTCGAGAATGAGAGCTGGCTTCGGAAGAAGAACCTCACGGCGCAAAACCCGCCTTTCCATCCCCAGTAGACATCCACAGTCACTTGCTTCTACTTACTGATACAGTTCTGGTTCCATCCACACCTAGAATGTTCTGCCTGAACTTAACATGATCCAACTTAACTAAGACCAGAGAGAGAGAGACAGAGAGGGAGAGAATTCTTAAGGTATCATTCTGAACCCAAAATATGTGTCTCCAAAGGGGCAGAGCAAAGCGTTGGTGATTTCCCTAATTTAAAAATTGCATTGCACCTGGCGGTGGTGGCACACACCTTTAATTCCAGCACTAGCACACACGAGTCAGAGGCAGGTGGATCTCTGAGTTCAAAGCCAGTCTGGTCTACAGAGCACACTCCAGGACTGGCTCCATAGCTACTGAGAATCCCTGTCTCAGAAAAAAACAAACAAACAAAAAAAAAAACAACCAAGCAAAAAAAGATTTTATTTATGCTTGGGGGTTGTGCACACCTTTAATCCCAGCACTCAGGAGGCAGAGGCAAGTGAATCTCTGTGAGTTTGAGGCCATCCTGGTCTACAGAGTGAGTTCCAGGACAGCCAGGAGAAACCCTGTCTTGGAAAACCAACACCCCCCCCCAAAAAAAATTGTATTTGCTTTTTTTTTTTTTGTCCCGAGACAGGGTTTCTCTGTAGCTTTGGAGCCTTGTCCTGGAACTAGCTCTTATAGACCAGGCTGACCTTGAACTCACAGAGATCTACCTGCCTCTGCCTCCCGAGTGCTGGGAAAAAATTGTATTTCCCACTTCAGTGACATTATAAAGTCAGATAGAAAACCCACTTTTGCCAATAACTGCTTTCCCAAAGCCAAGCAGCATTTGTTACTCTGACTTCAACTGAGGAGCTTGTGTGCCCCAGTGTCTCCAACTGAGCTGCACCCTAGTCAGCTGAGACCCTGAAGCCAGCAACCTCTCTGCCCAGCGAGATGAGTTAAAAGCACAACAGACCCAGCACTGCCGTCCGCAGGGGCATGGACTAGACGGCTGTGGCTCCAGACGGGGGCATGGACTAGACGGCTGTGGCTCCAGACAGGGGGCATGGACTAGACGGCTGTGGCTCCAGACAGGGGGCATGGACTAGACGGCTGTGGCTCCAGACAGGGGGCATGGACTAGACGGCTGTGGCTCCAGACAGGGGGCATGGACTAGACGGCTGTGGCTCCAGACAGGGGGCATGGACTAGACGGCTGTGGCTCCAGACAGGGGGCATGGACTAGACGGCTGTGGCTCCAGACAGCTTCACAGTCTTCAAACGAGAGTGATTATCTTTGCATCTCTTTACCATACTAACAAGTCTCTGCTGTAGCCCCAGGGGAGCCAGCGTGTTCTCAATTCTGCTTTCTGGACAGATGGAAACCATGCTCAGAGACCCAGAGACATCACATAAGACAGAGCCACTGTGACCCACTTGACATGATTTGGATGTATTCAGAGGAAATATGTACAGCTCGTTCTTTCCAGTGCTGGAATCAAACCCAGTGTGCCACTTTCTTTCCTGCAGCACTGTGGGTCCTGGCAGGGAGTTCTAAGGGGCAGGGGAGCAGGGGCAGCCTGGTGCACAGCACCCACTGGGTCAGCATTGTCCCTGCTGCTGCGGTTGGCTCAGCTGGACTCTCTAAGTTGGCCGGGAAACACCTTTGATTCGTCATTTCTGGGGTGCAGTGGTACAGAAGAAATGTCCCCCATGGCCACAGAGGCAAGGCTGTTGTTTGAGGTGTCACTTTCCCATTCCTGAATTCATCTTAGCTTCCTCTGGATGGTAAGCAATATTGCTTGCTTTTTTGGGTTAAACCCAATTCCCCCCAGTCACATCCGAGTCTGCCTCCTCCTACTGCAGCTGCTCTTAGGCATGGCGGCCCACAGCGGGGTCCCTTTTCATGCACTTCCAACATGCGTTTTTTTCCAAAGCATTCTTTCAAAAGGCCGTTTCTCTCAAAAAGAGCCCTCTGCTGCATTTTTGCCTTGTGAAAAAAAAAAAAAAAAGGAAAGTATTTCAAAACCCCAAAATACCTATGAGCAGAATTACACAAGTCTAGGGAGATGTTAACCAGATGCCAAGCATGCTAGGGCTGCCCCAGAGCCCACGCCTGGAACCAACCTTTGAGAACCAGACGGGTAGTGCCCCAGACCGGGCTAGCTGTTTACCCAATCCAACGACGGCGGAACGGGCAGAGAGCTTATGTTTCACAGGCATCTCCTTTTGTGGTTTTTGTTTTTCTCCTCTAATATCATGAAAAAGATTTTGATAATACTAAGAATTTGGATTAGCAGGGGGAAAAAAGGAAGTGGAAACAAAAAACTGGTCCAGCACGGGAGTCTCCCCAGATTGGGCACATCTGTGCATCACAGCCCCCAGAGGCAGCTCCCTTTCCTTTTGTTCAGCGATGAAGATATGCATGGCTGAAATTTCTTAGAATTCACTCTTTCTACTCCAGAGACGGTCCCACTTTCTTCATCAGAAAATGGAGGACAAGCTCACCTCAGTCCGTCCTGATGGTGTCGTCCTTTTGTTCTGCCTATCTTTGTTTTCCCCCAAACAGAGACTTTGGGGAAACTGCATCAACCAACCAGAACATATATATACCTGCTCCTTTAAAAGAAACTATCCGAAAAATTTTAAACGAAGCCAAGTTTCTCTATTATTTTAAGATGCAGTGATTTTTTTTTTCTCCTTCCCCTGGCTAGGCTTAGAGGTATCTCCAGGTTAGACTCCCCTGGGGCTGGGGTGACGTGCAAGAGCAAAGTGTCACCCAGCTTGTCCAGGATGGTCTGGGGGCCAGGGCAGTGTGTGAACAGCTGGCCCAACCCCGAGTAGCTAGCTTGAGTCAGCATTCATCCGAGAGACTGTCACTACCCAGGAACTCCGTGGCCTCGAGCTCCACGCTGGATAGAAACCTCCTCAGCTTCTTGTGGCAGTTGTAATCCAGAGTGGTGGTGTAGACGGTCTTGGGGTACTTGGGGTAGACGATGGTGGTGCTGAGGAAGCGCGTGGCCTTGTGGCGGGGCTCGAAGCGCACCTCGGCCTTATAGTTTCGCCAAGTGCAATTGGGGATACAGGTGACTGTCTGGCTGCAGGAAGCCACCACCAGGCCCAGGGGCATCTGCACATCGTCAATGAAGTGTCTTTCAGAGTCGTACTTGACCGAGGAAGTATACCTGTAGGGAGACACAAGCCAGCATGAAGCTGTCCTGAGCTAGGAGCATGGGGTCCCAAGTGTGACGGCTCATCTCTCCTGGGGTGCATCAGGGAGAAGCAGCAAGAGTCTACGGGAGTGTTTTATGGGAGGCATGTTACTCCAGCTACTTCTATCTCAGGACCTAAATGGATCTTCCCAAGCATCCTGGAGGAGGAAAGAGAGATGAAGAGATGAAGGTCTCAGTGTCCGTGAATGAAGGACCTGGGTGGGTAGATGGGTGGTTGAATGGATGGATGGACGGACGGACTGACAGATGCATTTGCAGGGCTGGGGATACAAACCACAGCCTTGAGTGCTAAGCAAGATCTCTACCCCTGAGCTAAGCGCCCAGGCCTGAGCTGGGACCTAAATGCAGCACACAGGCTTCTGAAGTTTACCATTTCCAGCAGCAGGCCACAGCCCTGAATTCCATTCCCATTTACATAAGCTAGAAGCCCTCAGCCTAACAACTTAACTTGCCTACGCCTCGAATCCTCTCTTATGACAAAGGGTCTACATGCAGCCAAGTGCTGCAGGGGTAATTAAGTCATTCACAGCACATAGCCATTTTGGGTTTGGTCATTGACTGGCCACATATACGACAGTGGTCCCACGGATTATATCACCCAGTGACATAGCACCTTCTTATTATGCCCAAGTGCATGCTGGCATGTGATGACTTGACACACGTTAGAGTCATCTGAGAAGAAGGAACCTCGATTGAGAAAATGCCTCCAGAAGTTTAGCCCGAGGGCAAGTCGGTGTGACATTTTCGCCACTGGTGGTTGATGTGGATGAGAGCAGCCCACTGTGGGCAGCGCCATCCCTGGGTAGGTGGTCCCAGGGTGTGTAAGAAAGCAAGCTGAGCAAACTCGGAGGAGTGAGCCAGTAAGCAGTGCTCCTCCATTGTTCCTACCTCCGGGTTCTTGCCTTGACTTCCCTTTATGATGTGAACTAAGACGTCGTGCGGTGACATTACCTGAGGACCTGCTCTGAACAGCTCTGTCGTTGGGCAGAGCTGAGTCATGGAATAAAGTGGAGTCAGCTGCTCTCTGGGGTAAAGAGCTTCTCCATCTGCTCCATGAGCAGCCAGCTCTTGAATGAGAAGAAGAATTCTAGAACTGCCAAGTGCTATGCCATGGCCTCAACTATGGTTTGGAAACCTCCCAACTCTGGGAGACCAGGGACCTGACCCTGTAAATGAAAGCCAAGTGCATCCCTGGTGGCCACAAACGAACTCGCCATTTACATCCCTCAGTTGCTTTTCTACCACGACTACCACCTCCACCACCTCCACCACCACCACCACCACCATCATTACCACCTCCTCCTCCACCACCACCACCACCCACCACCACCCACCACCACCACCACCACCACCATCACCACCATCACTACCACCTCCTCCTCTACCACCACCACCATCACCACCACCTCCTCCTCTACCACCACCACCACTACTATTACTACTACTAACTACTATTATTGTTGTTGTTTCGGGACAAGGTCTTGCTAAGTAGGCCAGCCTAGCCTAGAATTCTCTGCTCCCGCCTCTGCCTCCTGAGTGCTGGCTGGGACTGTAGGTGTACACACCCTTCACGGCTGGGGGCTGGTGTGTTCTAGAAGCATCACAGTGACAACTTGGCTACATTAATACTGCAGCTTCACAGATGTTAGCATCTCCATGAGCATCACGTGGGTGAGACCCAGCATTTTGTCTCTTCTCGCTGAAGTCACGAGACACTGACGGGAGCCAGTGTCACGAAGTCATGTCCCAGCTTTGTCAGAAACACAAGCTCCCAGGGAATAAAAGGCTAACCTGCCCACCTCTAAATGGATGAACCTCCCTCTGTTCCATATCAAAGGCCCCTTTGTGTTCAGGCAGCTGAAACTCCAGCTACAAAACCCCAGTCGCCAAAAGTAAAATTCCTTTCGCTAAAAAGACAGCCCTTTGCTGGAACCTCTCCAGGACTCTTTGCCCCCCAATCATCCCGGGTGAGGTCATTCCCAGAGGACCTGTCCAGTGGCTAACATGAGACAGGGTCATAGCACCTTACGGGTGGGACAGAGGGGGATGAGTGGCTTCAGGAAAGAAGTGATGTTCAACAAAATCCTTGGCACCCAAAGGCATGGTGTATGAAATGCATAAAGCATGCGGTAGAACTTCATCTCAAAATTTCACCTTTATCAAGTGTCTAGTAGACATAGTGTTGCACACCTGTAATCCTGACACTCAGGAAGCTGAGACAGAAATATCACCAAAGCTTGGATGATAACCTGGCCTACATAATGAATGCCAAGCCAGCTGACTCAACATAGCAAAGTCTTGTCCGGAAACTAACTAACTATCTGCATAAATAAATGGTGTATCTACATATTTAACTAGACATCATGCAAGAGAACAAGTCAAACTACTGACAGTCTTCGGGACATTTTCATAATTAACTTTTTAAAACAATAGCAATCAGACCTGGAATTTAAAAACATTTTAAGAAAAATAATATCAGGGTCAGTTCACTCACTTTATTTCCTTCGGCGGTAAGGGATCAAACTCAACTCCTTCGCCGAAGGACAGGGGACAGAGCCGTGGTGAGCAGCCGGCAGCCAGCGAGTGGGTCAGAGGTGCTGGATTCTTCGGGGAGAGAGGAGAGAGTGGTTAGATCTACGACTGACCGGCCAAAACACACTCCACAGAAGGCTGAGCCTCTGAGCCTCCAGGGAGGGGTCACACGGGGACCACAGCCTGGCCCTACAAAGGACAGGCCTAGCCACTGGCATGGGAAGTGCACTAGACAAGGCAGAACGGTCGGTCGGGGTTCAAATCCCAGATCAACCCTGCCGCTCATGTTTCAGGGGTGTGCCTTGCACTCATGAGCACATTAGGTGAGGTCCGTCCTGCGTGTGCTCTGTGCTCAGTGGAGTTGTCCCAGGTCCTGTCTCTCGCTGCACACTGGGGAAGGCTTGTGCAGAAGAGCAAGCTGACAGGAAGGATGAACTCCACATCAGGCCTGAGGCCAGAGTCAGAGGCTGCTGTACCACAAGAGCCCTGCGGTAAAAAGCTCTTCAGACCCTTCAATTATGCAGAGTGCCCCCCCCCCCCCCCCCCCGTCCCCTTATTGTCTCAGCAATAGTTAGAGAAAGGCCATGACTTCTGCAAGAAAGAAAAGCTTCCGGATTTTTTTTTTTTTTTTTTTAGGTAAAAACCCACTCCTACTTCCCTACCTCCTCTGCTTCTGGGGTTGACAGGGCAGCAGCCATCCATGACAGAGGTTCCTACAACTCTGTGGCAGTGGACTCAGGGATGTTTTTGCTCCACGTCAGCTTCCACTAGCCAGAAAGCTCCGGGGCAGAGCGCAATCTTTGAATCCGTCAGGGAAGCTCAGGTGACAGACAGTCTCTGGTCACCCAGTTTGGTAGAATCGGCCCTCTGTGCTTGTGTGCAGAGATAAACACAGCGCAGAGGGCCCTTCACAGCCCTTTGTGCTCTCTGGCTTTCTGAGATCTGTCATTTTCTTTGCTTAATTTAAGAGCGAGAGCTACATCTGTGCCAGGGTGTGGAGGTGGCAGACGGACCAACCCCCAGGACAAAGAAGGCAAATATTTCTAAAAGGTTGGCTGAGATCTTTATTGTGTTACCAGGACAAGACGCAAAAGCCAAAAGGACTGGCGGAGTGTCCTGGGGTACTGCTCCAGGGCTAGAATGGAGCTTGGTGACTCGGGGTTGGGGGAACAGATACAGTTCAAGCCAAGGTCAGTAATGAGATGTGGGCACAGCGGGAGCAGAAACAGTGGGTCCTGCTCCACTCTCTGGCTGCCAGAGTCTCCGCATCAGGGGGACACATGCCAGGCAGCCCTGGAAGCTGCAGGGTTATGTGGTCACCCCAGTTTGTTCTCCCACACTCTCAAGACAACTTTCATTCGGGGTCCATTTGGCTTCCCTTTCCCCGCCTCTCATTCCTGCCCACCAGACAGACACTCCCTGGGTATCTGGGTGTGGGAGGGAGATGAGGTGGCTTAGCAGTAACGAGAGACAAATGCACAAGGAGACCAGAAGGATGGATACCAAGCCATAGGCTCTGGAACACGTCTGAGAAAGCTCTCAAAGGAGGTGACACAGCCGAGCATGGAAAGGCCACCAGGACTTGGATGGGAAAGGTGAGGGTCAAGGTTCAGGTCAGGTAGAAGAAGGGACATCCGAAACAGCCGTGAGTGTCTGGTCTATGGTCAGAGCAGGTAAGATGAGGCTGAAAGGCCAAAAGGCCAAGCTGAAGCAAACTTCACCTTGGAATGAAGTATGAGGTGCTGATGCTTGCTGAGACACGGTCAATAGGTCAAAAGAGGGCCCACACCACCAAAGTCCCACCATGGTCCTTAAAAATAACACTGCCACTGTCTACCCCACGGGAGGTCCAGTCAACAGCCATCCCTAAGTCATATACACATTGAGTTTCAACTGTAGGCAGGATGTGGCCTCTCCTGAGACTCGCCTGCAAACCACCACCTGAACAGACAGATCCCAGGGCAAAAGAGACTTGGAGTTTTTCTTACAAAAAGTTGAAAGTAAAAGGATTAAAACTTTCAAAGCCCTGGCCACCTAGAGGACTCCGATATCATTGAGATCAGAACTCTGGCTGAGTTAGGTATTCAGGACAGGGGCCCCGACAGCACACCGAAGGCTCATGGTGTGACTCCTCAGGTCTCCCAAAGGTTGGCCGGCCTTGTGCCGAGAGCCCAGAACACACCCCTCTCCCAGGTCCCGGCAGAGGGAGGCCGCCTAGGGAGCAAAGCCTCGGGGCGTAGGCCCCCGGGTGGGGAGGGCTGGGTTCCCTGTCCGTGTCCCAGGAGCCCCACCCAGCCCGCCCCGGCAGGAATGTGGTCGAGCCGCAGCTTGGCAGCCCCGGGGGCCACCACCTCGAAGGGAGGAGACCGCGGCTCGCCTCTCCCGGGGCTCCCGCGCCTCCCAGGCGATGACAATTTTCCAGCCACTGGCTCCAGCTGGCCAGGCTCTCTCGCTGCGCTCCCGCCCCGGCTCCCGGCTATAGCCACGCCGTCTCGACGGGCGGGTGGCTGCACCGACAACCGACTGCGAGCGCTGGGGAGTCCTGGGGCGGGCTCCAGGTGGGCCAGCAAGGGGAGAAGTCTGTGCACTAGGCAACTCACCGGGATGGCTGGGGTCGCCGCCGCGTCGGGCTCCAGCGTCCCCGGGACCGGAGCGCGTTCCCCACCGCCGCCCGCCGCGAGCCCCCAGTGGCTGGGGCTAGGGCTTGGGGGCAGCCCCGAGTCCGGGCTGTCCAGGACGCCGTCGCCCTTCTTCTTCGTGTCCACGAGCTCGGGGACATCCTGCAGGCTCAGCCGGCCCACCATGGCTGCGCGTTTGGCGTGGCCGGGGCACAGCCAGATCGGAGTGCGAGAGAGGGCCGCACACGCGGGCCAGGGCTGCTGCCCTCCGGGCCGCCCTCCTTGCCCCGCCGCCGGCGCGTTGTCCGGGTGTCGCCGGCGGCCGCGCTCGCTTGAGGCCCCGCCTTCCGCCCCGCCCCAGGGGCCGGCCCAGCCGTGGTGACCGCCAAGAGGCCGTGCACCAGGGGCCGCTGCACTACCGCCGCGCGCCGCCCTTAGTCTTCGCGCCCCGATCTTCCCGCGACGCCCCTTCCGCACCCCTCCTACCGGCAACCGCGTCTCCCGCTGACAAGGCTGCCGGCCTCCGTCCAGCCCCCCACCCTGTCTCTGGGGTGCGCGGGGATCCTTGCCCTGTCCCTCGGACCCCGGGAGGTGCTAATATCTCTAGATCTGGCAGTCCAGAGCCAGAGCCGAGTCCCAGCCTGCAGAGGCCTGGGGGGGACGAGCAAACAACTGGAAATTATTAATACTTAATGCGCCTCGTCTGGCTCCGGCCGCCTGTTGGCTCAGCAGGGCCGGCTCTGGCTCTCACGTCTGCCCCGGAGGAGAGGCGGCCTACTCCTCCGGACTCCCGGGAGGCGTTGATCACTCCCTGGACGGGTGCTTAGCTGAACAGGCTGTGGCCAGGCCAGGCAGGAACGTTCTAAGGGTGTCACAGGCTTGGATTTCCAAGAGAGACCAGCAAGCAAGCTGCCCAGCGGTTGGCTGTCTTAGGGCCCAAGATCCCCTTATGGAGGCCGCATTTTTCTTTTCACTCACAGGAACTTTCCTTCCGTGCCATCTGAGGGGATCCCTTCTAAAAACAAGACAAAACCAAAACACAACAACAACAAAGCAGACTGTCCTTCCTGTTAGTTGACAGAGAAGACCCTTCTTTAGTGGGAACTAGTTGCATGGGGTGGAGCGGGGGTTGGGGGGCTGCCCAAATTCATTGCTTTTTTTCTCATCTCAATGTCCACGGTCACCACCGAGTACACACAGTACATACAGTCATCACACTTCCCTGACTGTGAATCGTGAGGCTGCTCTCTGAGATCCTGGAACTGTGACCTCCGCCAGACCTACTCCGTGTCAGCTCTGAGCAAGTGTCACATACCCCACAGAGGACACCCCTGGCCCACCTGTACACAACTCGGCAAAGACAAAGCCCATCTGTCCTGACGGTCTGACCTAGAGTGGCTCAGTTCAGTCCTCCTTTCTCTCTGCTCATCATTTTCAGATAAGCAAACAGAGGAACTTGCCTTGCCTTCCAGTCACATGGTAGGGAGAAGGCAGCTTGCTCTGAACCGGAAGCCAGCATCATCCCTTCTCCAGAGGATACATTCTGGAGCGGGCTGTATCAGGACGTTGTTCATTCGTTCAGGGCACGTGGGGATAGGTTACGAGATGCACGGTGTATGGTGCCTGACAAATGTCTACTGCAAGGACATGCTGTGCCGTCACACTTCCCCACTCCTGTTTTTCCCAACATCTGCACACCTCAGCAGTGCTGTGCCCCTGGCATTAGAGGAGGAATCCCTGTACTTTCCGAGGGTGTGGAAGGTGGGCTGCTCACATTGGGAAAGATGACCAGGAAGGTGGCAATCGCTCTAAGGAGATGGTAAGTCCGAAGAGCTGGAGGACGAGACCGAGAAAGCTCAGCATGCTGGGCCCCAACAACCACATTCCATCTCGGTGCCGATTGTTGTGGGGAGTTTGCCTGCTTTGGGACTTGCTGACTCCAGAGCTGGAGAAGCCACATTGCACCCTCTGAGCTGTACTCTGAACACTTAGCTACATTCTGTCAGAAGACTCGTGGGGACAGCAAAGCTGCCAGCGTGAGAAAGAGAAGATGAAGCGTCCAGCCTTGGAGGGGTCAAGGGGATCCAGAGCACTCTTTTTGGTCCACGTTCTCACAGGCACCAGAATCATCACCAGCAGCTGGCCCAGGGTGTCACAGCAGCTTCTGGACCCCAGGAGAAGCTGTCATCAAACTGGACACAGGGAGTAGCTGGGCTACAACCTGACCACCAAGAACAACCTCTCCCAACTCTTTTAGGCACAGACCAAACAGGGCATCCTCCTGCCTCTGGAGAACTACCAAGTAACTCTCAAAGCATAAGCTGAGTGATCCACCAGTCTGCAGTCTGTCCTTCCTTCCTTCCTTCCTTCCTTCCTCCCTCCCTCCCTCCCTCCCTCCCTCCCTTCTCTCCCTCCCTTCCTCCCTCCCTCCCTCCCTCCCTTCCTTCTCTCCCTCTCTTCCCCGCTGTCTCCAAAGCTGGGATAGGGTGAGGGCAGAGGTGCTCTTGGAAAGAGAGAGAGCCAAACCACTGGCTCAGCACCCCACCCCCAGAAGGGGACTTCCAGTGTAACCAGGTGTGAACCTTGAAGCTCAGATCCTGGAAATGGGCTCTGTCTCTGGAGGCCTGAGTAGTGAGTTTAGACTTAAAATGTTTTGTTTTTAAGTTCAAGTCTTACAGACTGGCCTGAAATTCTAGACAATTCTCCTGCTTCACCCTACCACACTAGAGTGCTAGGGTTATGGTATGAACCAAATATCCAGCTTCAAATTGTACACTTACCGGAGCCTTCAAATTCATGATCCGACATCTTATTCCAGATGTTTCCCCCAGGATGTTGCTCAGAAATTTCTAATTCAAGCTGGAGGGAAATTCCAGGTCAGTCAGGGCTACATAACAAGGCCTTGTTTAAAAATTAAAGTAAAGCCAGCAGGGAAGAGGAGAAGGTACCTGCTTCTGCCCTAAGCCACCCTATCCCGGCTTTGGAGACAGGCTTTTTTTTTTTTTTATTTGAGGAGTAGTTGGGGTGTCTGTAGAAACCAGGAGGTAAGTTAGACAAAGCAAGCAGAGCCCAGAGAAACCACAGAGCCCAGAGAGAGACTGGCTTCATCTCAAAGCTGTCCTTTCAGAGAGGGGCCATGACCCCGAGGCCTAGATCAGAGGCACCATGTCCTCACAGAGCTTGGCTTCCAGCCTGAGGCTCTCCCAGCAGGGCCCAGGAACACAAGTTGCCTGACAATGGGTACCAATCCTGCATTTTTTGTTGGGGGTTTTGCACTGATGCCCAACTGGGAATCAAGTCAGGCAAGGGCAAGGCCGGACCCCTCACGGTTGCCTCTTATTTCTGTGGAACAGCCTGTCTTCAGCAAAAGCCAGCCAGTGGATTAAAACCACTCTTGGCTTAGTCTGCTGGCTCGTGCCCATGTCCATGGCACCTTGCAGTCTCCAGCCGCCAGGGTTCCAGGTTGTTCTCTGGTCCACACTGTAGAGGATCTGCCTCACTGTCCAATCGTATCTCTTCCTCCTTCATTTGTATTAATGCCAACAAAATGTTTTCAAAAATATAATTTAATTTTGTTCTTTAAGTATCTGAAGATTAAGACCCTTGTTTTCAAAGGACATTGAAAGGAATCTGCCATATGTAGTAAAGAAGGGAGGAGTAAGTGGCACAGGCCAGCAATATCAGCACTCGGGAGGTGGAGACACGGGATCAGGAATTCACGAATTGACGACCATCCTTGACTACCTAGACATTTGAGGCAACCCCCCCCCACTTTTTTTTTAAGGGAGCAGGGCTGAATGAAAAAGACGTGCTTTAGCCAGGAGCCAGGAATTATGTGGTGCATAGCTGTAAAACCCCAGCACACAGGACAAAGACACGCTCTAAGGGTGAGAGACCCAACACATCCCACCCGAGTGTGGGCTCTGGTGTTGCGGGCAGGGATGGGCTGATAACCAGGAGCCCTTGGGATTCACAGGGTGGCACAGAGTCAGAGGAATATCCAGGGGCTTGTTTGGCAATTTCAGAGCTAAACAGGCCTGAAGGATCATCAGCAGGCCCCTTTTCCAGCCTCTCGCCTGGGAGCTCACCAGTTTGAATGGAGGTTTGCTCAAGCCAGAGGGCAACATTAACCCAGGGACCAAGTGCAGCTGGTGTGTAATCAGGCAAAGGCTCCCTGTGCAGGGAGCCCCCACAAGCCCTGTGAACTCTGGCCCTACCTGGATGCTCCCATCTGCAAACTCAGAGCTGACTTTCCCAAGTGCTCCCTAGTTACACTTGAAAAGGCCCACTGCTGGCCTTTGCAGACTACACCAGATGGGATTTTGCAGAGGGCTACATCAATGTATTTGTACTTCTGGCTCTGTTTGGCACATTCAGACTGGATAAGGGCTTGCGAGCTGGGAAAATGGACTTTGGTTAAGCAACTGAAGGTCACACTCTTGGTTCCTTGCCTGACAAATAGAAAGATATGCTGTCACTGTCCCTTAGACAAACAGCTGGCCTGTGGGGCCACACGGCAAGGCCACCTCAAAGGTCTCCAAGGTGCTTCAAGACCACAGAGGGCCCAGCGCTGTATGACTGCCTGAGACAGGACGGAGAATGGGAGTCTTCGCGTGCACCCAGCTGCTCCTCACATGACAACTGCTGGGGTTGGAGAGACAGCTTAGGGGCTGAAACCGCAGGCTGTTCTATCAGAAGTCCTGGGTTTGATTCCTAGTATCTACAGAGTGTCACGACTTTCTGTGACTCCAGTCTTTGGGGATCAGGCATCCTCTATGGCCTGGCACCTCCAATCCAGTAGACCTCACCAAACACCCCCAGATTTTATCTCATGCTTTCCTTTGTTAGATTTTTTTCTCTTTTATTCTTTTGTTTGTTTGTTTGTTTTTCGAGACAGGGTTTCTCTGTGGTTTTGGTGCCTGTCCTGGAACTAGCTCTTGTAGACCAGGCTGGTCTCGAACTCACAGAGATGCGCCTGCCTCTGCCTCCCAAGTGCTGGGATTAAAGGCGCGCGCCACCACCGCCTGGCTCTCTTTTATTCTTATGTAGCTGAGAATGACTTTGAACTGAACACCTGATCCTTCTACCTCCAGCTGCCAAGTGCTGGGATTATAGTTATGCACCACCATGCTTGGCTTTATATATTAATTTAAAGTTTTAGATTTATTTGCTTTATGTGAGTATTTTTCCTGTATGTATGTGCCCCATATGCGTGTCCTCAGAGTTTAGAAGGGGTGCCGGGTCTGTTGGGAGTGGAGTTACAAAGTCCTCCAGGAGTGTGGGGCTTAAAACTGAAAAGCACCTTTTGAATAAGAACCAAAAGCAGGACAACCAAAACAGCACC